CCCAGCTGAAGCCAAAGCTGCAGTCAGCTGCTGTGGGCCAAGACCTAATCTGAGGGTTCTAGACATTGGTCCCCCTGTAAGACCCACCCCCCCTGCCGTGACCAAGGAAACACAAGAGCTCACTCTCGTGGGCACCCACACACAGAGACTTGTACAATTTCAGTGTCTCTGTGCTGTAGGGCCTGTGGGAGAGGGCGAGGGTCAGAGGAAGGTGGACCGAGGGGCAGGGACAGGGTCCCAGCAGCCAGGCCTCCCTGTTGATCACCCCTGCCTGCGAGAGCCCAGGGAACAGTCGGAGCCCTCTGGGCCGCAGCCTGTGAGGGGACGGCCACGTCGCCCCGCCACGTCACGCAGCACCACACCACACCTTGGCACCTGCCCTCCTCTCTCGCAGAGCCACCTTGCCCTGTCCCTGCTCGTTCAAGGCGACTCCCCTCTGCGCCCCCTGTCGCCTGCCTCATACCGTCTCGAGGCTCTACTAGAGTCCTGTGCTCAGCCTGGGTGGGCCCTCTCCATCCTTCTACCTGGCAGCATGAGGAAGAGCCCAGGCCCACTCCCACGGTCCCATTGTCCTTAGGCCCTCAGGAACCTGGCTGCCGCGTCCCCAGCCATGACACTGTGGCCATGGCTCCAGTAGGACGGCCTCTTGGCATCTGTCCTCACTCCCGGGTCCAAAGCTCCTGCCCCTGTGAGGGTCCTGGCCACCCATCCTCCCCTCTAGGACTCCTTCGACAGCCCCACCCCGGCCTGTGCCCGCAGATGACTCAGGCACCCACTGGGGTCACACACCTCTCCCATCAAGCTGTACCTGGTTTGTCTCTGGGCCACCAAACTGACAGTTTGCTTGGCACATTCAGACAATGGCCCCATACAAACTATGAGCTCCTTGCCCACCGGATTGCGTGTCTTGGGGCCACGCTCACTCTTGGCCCAGCTATGAGCAGCCTGATCAGAGGCCTCAGGAGGGTAGAAAGAACCAGGCTTTGAAATCAGACAAGACTAAGCTCAGCTCTCAGCTCTGACACCTGCCAGCCCAGGGCGGCCCCTGAACCTCTCTCCATCTCCCCATCTGTGAGATGGGAATAATCATATTTCTCTTGCAGTTTCGAAGCATGATTAAATGAGATATTGTATGTGAAGGGCCCAGCTCAGGGCTTGGTAAATAGTGGGCGTTTAATAACTGCTGAATGATCATCAGTTGAATGATCGTCAAGGGGGAGCCTGATGCCTCCCTCCCCTCTCTGCGGTCACAGTCTGGACCCTCCTTCAGACTCTGTCGGGCACCCGGGTCCCGTGCGAGGAGCAAATGCCGTTCTTTGGAGTTGTCAGAGCAGAGCCACCAACAGCCTAAGCAAGAGGCAGGAACCTTCCCTTCCCGCGTGTACTTGTCATATGGATGCCGGCTGGTTGCCAAGGAGGTGGTTTCCCTGGCAACAGGCAAGCAGGGGTTGCCGAAGCAGGCTGGAGAGACAGGTGGTGCTCTGAGGCAAGGGGAGGGGGTGGGGAGGGGAGGAGGGAGGCGCTGAGAGGTAGCGGTGCATGAAAACCCGTGTAATAAACCATTGGCGCTTGGGAGACCCTCACTTCAAGGGCATCACACACAGAGACAGCTCGGCAGCCCTGGGGATCAGTTCAAGGGGCCCTGAGTCAGAAAGAGGGTGGGTCTTGGGAGAGGGGCTTCTGACCTCCCTCCGGGTGGGGAAGGGAGCAGGACTGCCCTAAGGAGAAGCCCCATCTTCAGTAGAAGACAACGTCCAGGGCCTGCTCTGGCCTATCAGGTCTTCACGCCTGCCCTGCGTGCCAGCAAGCCGGGCACGCAGAATAGACATCCCATTGCTCAGCAGCCCTGCGCCCCCACCCCCTGCCCACCTGGACCTGGAGACCTGTATAAGGCAGCCCCTCCAAACTGGACACGTCTGATCACAGAGTGAAGGGAAGAAAGGGCCTTCTCTGACACCTCGGCAGGGAAGCAGATCTGGGGTCCCCCTTCTCCCTCATGTCCGGCTCACATGGGCTGCCTGTCGCACATTAGCCCAGAGAGGCTGAGAGATGTCTCAGGTCACACAGCCTCGTGGTGGTGGAGTCAGGATTGAGACTCGGGCCTCCTGCCCCAGCTCTGTGTGCTCCCACTGGGCTGGGCAGTGGCTAGGGGATCTCTGAGCTAGTGAGGAGCACCGGGCCCTGGGACCCCACGGGCCTCTGACCCACGCTGGTGGCTGGCCATGCTGAGGGCGGGAGCAGCTGTGGGGCTAAGGGCAGGGGAGGCTGCAGAGGCTGCGGCCCATTAGCAGCTGCGGAGTGAAGCCTTTGACAGGGCCTGACCTGCTGGGCTGCATTTGCATTCAGGGGGTGACCCGCATCACTGGGCTGTGACATGCCTGGCGGCCTTGTCAACGGGACACCCTCTGAGGCTCTGCACCGGACCTTCCTGGCCTTCCTTGGTGGTGATGGGAACTGCCTCCCTCAGGGTGTGCTTGTTGGGAGAAGACTGCCCTGGCCTCTGAATGGGCTGGGCTGTGCTGGGCTGGGCTATGGGCTGGGCTATGATCTGGGCTGGGCTGGGCTGGGCTGAGCTATGCTCTGGGCTGGGCTGGGCTAGGCTGAGCTGGGCTGGGCTGCACTGGGCTATGCTCTGGGCTGG